CTCGATACAACCCTCCTAGCTGCACCTCGTTCATCCGCCAACGCTATCTCCTCCGACATAGTTGCAATAATCCCAAGCGTTAGAACACCTAAAATAAGTATAATCTGTCGATCCAACCACATATTGATAGGGGCCGACAGAAAATTTCAACCCCTACAAAAAGGGGAGACGGCCGTTAGGGTTCTTCCCCCTCTAGAAAGAAGAGAGAATCATACTAAAACGTCATGTAATTAAAAAGGATGTACAAGATTGTGCCAACTATCGACTATCGAGGGATTAAGCTTATGAGTCACACCATGAAACTTTGGGAGCGAGTGATTGAGTACAGTCTTCGAAGAACTGTGAAGATTTCAGAGAATCAATTCGGTTTTATGCCTGGTCGCTCAACAACTAAGGTCATTCACCTTTTTCGGCAACTTATGGAGAAGTATAGAGATGCTCACAAGGATCTGCATCTGGTGTTCATTAACTTAGAAAAGGCTTATGATAGGGTACCTCGAGAAGTTCTTTGGTGAGCCTTAACTAGAAAAGGCATATCATGCAAGTATATCAACATCATCATGGATATGTATGAGGATTGTACTACAAGTGTTCGTACTAGTGTAGGGAGGACTGCAGAGTTTCCTATTACTATTGGAGTCCACCAAGGATCGGCTTTGGGCCCTTTCTTATTTGCCATAGTCATGGATGAACTTACGAAGTCAATTCAAGACGAAATACCGTGGTGCATGATGTTTGCCGACGATATTGTATTGATTGATGAGACGCAATCAGGTCTTAAAGCAAAGTTGGAAATATGGCAAGAAACATTGGAGAACAAGGGTTTTAGCCGAAGCCGAAGCAAGACAGAGTACATGGAGTGCATGTTTGGTGGAGGTAGAAGCAGTGGTAATAGCGGAATTACTCTAGATGGTAAGGAGATACCGGTCAGCGATATGTTCTGTTACTTGGACTCCATAATTCAGAAGGACAGTGAGTTAGATGGAGATGTATTCCATAGAATCAGAACAGGGTGGATGAAGTGGAAGAGTGCGTTAGGATTTCTATGCGATAGAGGTATGCCGACTAGACTGAATGGTAAGTTTTATAGGACATCAATTAGGCTGCATTAATGTATGGCGTAGAGTGTTGGGCGGTGAAACAATGTCACATTCAAAAGATGAGTGTGGCGGAGTTGCGCATGCTGCGTTGGATGTGTGGGTATACTAGGAAGGACCACGTGAGGAATGAGACTATCAGACAAAGGGTGGAAGTAGCACCTATTGAAGACAAGATGCGGGAGTCGCGCCTACGGTGGTTTGGTCATGTGCGTAGAAGAACGAGTGGTGCACCTGTCAGACGAGTTGAGATGTGTGGATAAGAGGCAGGGAAGAGAGGGAGAGGAAGGCCCAAAGTGCCCCAAACAGACGTGGGTTAGGGAAGTCCGAAGTGATATGCTTCTTCTTGGGTTAGATGAGGGTATGACTTTGGAGAAAGCAAAGTGGAGGGTGAATATTCGTGTGGAGGAGTGATCTCGTATTATCTTTTCCCCTCTTTTTCTTGTTTTTTTAAATCCTTTTATCCTTATATATAAACATTATTTTTCTCCTTTTTATTTTATCATTTTTAGGTATATTCATCTCTTTTTATATTATCCTTTTCATAATAGGTTAATAGCTTATCTTTTTTTATCTTTATTTTCTTTCTTTTCCTTTTGATGGTGATATCATGTATCGATTCATGTTGGCCGACCTCAATATCTTTTAGGACTAAGACTTAAATGTTGTTATTGTATTTGATGAAAAAGTTGATCAATAACATTAATACGTTGAAAAACATGGTTACAGAATGAAATTTTTATATGGTTGAATTTGTATTTATTACTACGGAGTACTATTTAAAAGACAATAACACCTTCTCCCCAACAAATATGAAGTTTTTTTTATAAAAAAGAAAAAAATTGGTGACACCATGAAGAATGTTCGTAAGAAAGTCGAAATATGGCTTAGGTCACTTCTAGAAGTTGACATCCCAAATTTATTCGCACATTTTTTGGTGCCACTGCTGAAACAAACAGGGAAACGTATGGAGTTGGGTTTTGTTTCAGCTGCTGATCGATTTTGTTGACTAGAAACGGCTCTGTACACTTGTCTACCGTTCCACGCAGCCAGATGAAATCCCGACAAAGCATCACTGATTCACGGTCTGCTTGCAATAGCTTCTGCTTTTTAAAAAGTACTTTCTTTAATGAAACGGAGATTAAATAAAAGTTGATAGTGTTTGAGAAAAAAGTGATTTTGAAAAGTAAAAGTGGATAGTGTTTGATAAAATAAGTGCTTTTTGTGTAATAAAAAAAGTAAAAGCACTTTTGACGCGGAAGCCGAGAAAAATAAAAGTTGTAGTGTTTGGGAAAATAAGTGCTTTTTAAAGCCAAAAGCTGAGAAGTGTTTTTTTAAAAGGAGTTGCAAACCAACCCTATACCGTATTGACCATTATATTTAGGTTGAGTCTTGCGTTTCATTAACAAGTGATTTATTTTAGAAATTAGAGAAATTCTTATGAGTGTACTCTATAATTTGTGGTGAGTTTTTTATCTGTGGAGTTTTAGTTTATATTTTTTAAATTCTTAAACTTTTTATGAATGAATATCATTGATAAATTTATGGATTTCATTCGAAAGATATTTATCAGTGTTATGCAAGCAGAAAATTAAACAAGAACAATATTATATTATTATCTAACACTCATAAGTCTACATATCATAAGCGGTCCAATATGTTATTTCACAGTACAAAATGATAAGCAATTAGAAAGAATCTAAACAATATAATACAAATGTAATTCAACTAATGATAAAAAGTTTTGCAAACACAACTCATCAAGTGTAAGCATCTAGGTTTCTCTTTATCAATGAACTCAAATATATGCAATCACTACCAATATAATTCATTATTAATGTGAAGCTCACTCTATCAAAATACAGGTATAGAAGATAAACCTAAATAAAAACCCAAATATATGATTTTACTTATCATTTTACGAAGACAAAAGAGCATCAATTTGCAACTTGTTTCACAATTTTATTTACATCAGCAACTACGACTTAATAGAGCAAACGTTCAGAAGTATAATGATTTTCTTATTAATTTTAAAATATTCTACATAAAGAATTACATCATCTCTGATTCTTCAATCGATCACTATAAATAAAGAGAATTTGAAGGCATTTTTTGCAAAAGCGTAAGTCGCCTTGTTCTAAGAAAACATATACTTCGTATACGAAGTATTATTGATTTTCAAATTTTATGTTAATGTTTTTTTTTTGTTAATGCTTGTTCTAAGAGAATACTTGTATTATTAAATGTAAAATTGTATCTCCATACATTCATGCATTGATGATTTTACTATTAATTTCAACTTTGTATACCATGGTGAAGGAGTGTTCATATTTTATTTAGAGTAAAATAATAAAATTCAAGCTTTAATTTGCAAAAACCTTGCATAGAGAAACCGACCTCATACCCATTTCGCATGTTCATTTGGACGTAAATTTGATGACCTTAAATTAGTAAGAGAATTTAATTAGCGTGTTTGACATTTTAGTTTGAAGCGAAGAATAGAAAAAATGAAAACAGTTTTAAATACAAGCTTTATGTTTATGGCTTTTAACCGTTAGGAGTTTTATCATTGGAAGTATATATTTGGAACACTGAGAGCTCGTTTAATAGCACTGAAATTGGCTATTCTGCTTAAATTTATGAAGTTTTGGCTAAATTAGTTGTATTGGCTAATTATGCTCATATATGAAAAAATTATATGAAAAATAACTAAAATGATCATCTATAGCAACTTCAGCAAATATAATAAAAAAAATTAACTCCAACCTCACTTTTTCTTATTATTACACAATTCAGCGCGCAAAATCAAAAATTACGTATGTGTAATAAAAAAGTTGGTTGATAAGTGTGATAAGCAAAAAAACAATGCCACTAAACGGGCTCTGGTTTAGCTTTTTGGAGCTAAATAAGTGAAGTTATATTTAATTTTCTGACTGAATAGACTGAAATAGTTGAACCCACCAATCTAGCTCATCATAACATGCGAATGTGTGCGAGTCGGGCTGAATCTATATATTCTCATAATCGTAAGTCATTACAATATTACCAAGTATTACTCCTTATGTCCCGTTGGAATTGTTCTATCTTCTTTTCGACCTGTCCCACTAAGATTGAATTATATTCCCTCCGTCCCTCAATACTCTGTCATGTTTGACCGGTACGGAAAATAATAAAATAAAAACTGTGTGATTGAGATATGTGCAGAGGAGATAGATTTAACAAGAACCACAAATTCATGGATTAAAAGGGGAAGTGACAAAATTTTTGGGACATTCAAAAAAGCAAAGAAGAGAAAGTTACAAGAGACGGATGGAGTCCCGAATTTGATAAAGTTTGTTTTATTCTAAATTATTCTTATTTTATTCTTACTTTATCATTTTAATATCAACAACACAAAGTCACTTTTCTTAATACACCAACAACTTCTCATGTCCAACGGGACGGAGCTAGTACTCCGTCCCATTAATCAACAATACAACTTCTCTATGTAGATAGTAATATACATGCGCCCATTAATCAACTTATGCTTTTCATTATCCATGAGAACTCTTTTTTATGAAGGCCGGAGTGTTATTCATGAATTATTTTACAACACTGATTGCATAATTAACAAATTGCTGCCAGGTGGTACGTGTGGGTCTTTACCACCGATTTTCAGTGCTTCCCTATTTTCTCACTAATCAAATACTTCCTCCGTTCATTTTTAATTGCAACAGTCCACTTTTCACGCTTGCCAACACACAAGTTTGACCGTTAATATCTTTCATTCCTTATTAGTAAAAAAATTTAAAAAATCAGATTTTGAAAATTTATTATGAGAGGAATTTAAAAATATTTTTTAAAAATTTAATTCTTAATACATTAATTAATAAAATGTAGTCAAAGTAGAATCTATGAATAGCGGAAAAAAGTCGTACGTTGCACTTAAAAGAGAATTCGTAATTTCGTATTCAAGACCATACGTTACAGGATATATAAACATTTTACAAAACAGACCAAAAAATAAACATTTCTATACAATAAAGAAAGAAATAAAAGGAATTAAAGAAACAGGGAATTGAAGTATATGATCGGTATTTTTATCTGCGGGAATATCCGAAGCCGTTGGACAGAGGATGCCCGGCAGGATTGAAGGTCAGATTCCCCAAAATGCCCTGCCTGTACGGCAAGAAAGTCTTCTTCTTCAAATCCTCTGAAACTGCTCTGTTGAAAGTGTAATGCTGCTCATGAGCCGACGGCGACGCCCCTCCTCCTTTCACCCTCCTCGATGCAGAAGACCCTTCCTTCCTATTATCATTTCCCCGGAAACTATTTCCGCCGCCTTTGCCCACGGCGGCCGTGTATTTCTTCAGCGCATCTTTTTCCGACGACCTCCCCTCCGACGCGCTCCGGAACAAGAAAAAGTCCCGGAGCCTCCACTTCTTGATCATCATCAAACCTTTCGAAGAAGACGACCTCGACAGAGAAGAAGTAGATGCGGGATTTCGAGGAGGAGGAAGACGAGGAGGGGGTTTCACCGACTTAATCATCCCGCCGTCGAAGAGCTCATCAGCCGCCGAAACAGAGGCCGTCTCTTCTACGTCGAAAGCGAAGCCATCGAAGCCACCCGATGTCAGCATCTTCGACTTGGGCGTGCCGGGTTTTTCCTCCCAGGAGAAAGGGACGGCGGCGGAGCTACCGCCGGAATCATCCACCGAGAAGTCGTAGAGATCGCAGTAGAGGTGAGAGGGACTGGCGGGAGCGCTGAGATAGCCGTAATCGCCGAAGCGCTTGGGCGTGGAAGGGGCAGTTGCGCAGGGTGAAGTTCTTGCGCTGTTGAAATCGAAATCCATGTTGGGATGGGCAGGAATCATGACCTCCATCTCTCTGTCTCTCCCTCTCTGCAATGGAGGATCCACAGAACCAGGGGAAGCAGGATGAGCTTATTATATAGGAGGGGTGTCATTGTCTCATTGACGCATGAGCTGAGGAAAATTCTGAAGCTCACCTTGGAAAGCCGCCAATCTTTACTTTGTCAAATTTTGTGTTTTTGTCCCGTTTTGTTGATACATCGTTTACATATGGGGGAGTATGACTTCATTCTTATTGATATTATTATAAGAATGATTCGGAAGAAACACTTGTTTATAACAGGAACAGGAATTTAAATAAAACAAAATACAATGAGAGATAGAAACAGGCCAGGACCTAAACAAAGAAGAAATTAAGAGGTAATTACCAAATAACGGGAATTTTTGGTCTGACATGCCAAATAACGGGATTTCAAATTAGGTACCAAATAGCGGGAGTCGGAACCACAAATTCCGACTGGAAATAAGGACTGGAAATAATGATAGTCGGAATTGTGAATTCCGACATAAGTATATTTTTTATTTAAAAAAGTTGGAAAAGTTGTTTCGGTGCTTAAAAACAAAAAAAAATGGTTGGAAAAGGGAGTTCCGACTGTGTGCAAAAACTTGTAAAGTAATTAGTTGGTGGAGAATAAATAATTCCAAAACAATTGCTACACAATAATTGTAGTTGTAAATACGAATGTTTTTACTTGGACTATAATTTGCTGATCTGGTCTGATCTGGTCTGAACTCGTCTTTTTTGGTAATGTCCGGTCTCTTTGTAATTTTATAACTATCCAAGTCTGGTCTGGTCTGGCCTGAACTGGTCTGGTCTGGTCTGGGACGAATTACAGTCCAAGAAAAAACATCCTAGAACAACGCACTCTAATAAAACCGCTACAAAGCCTGATAAAAAATTGTAAATTTGATAAAAAATTGATATACAAAACAAAAGATTAAAAATAATTTGAGTTGACCATGTAATAGTAAACGACAAGTTAATTTTGTTCACAAAATGAAATTCATTTTATGAATTTAATCCGATGGATTAAAAATTACAATAAAGTAACCAATATTATTTTAAAAAAATTAAACTGCATATTTTTCATTTTAGGAAATATAAATGTAAATACATTCAAAATTTACAATTCACTTTTAGAATTACAAATACGGAGCATCACTTTTTTTAAAACGTTACAAATATCTTTAGTATAAATAATTAAATAAATACATATACACGTCACTTCAATACATTAAAAAAAAACCTCTAACTAGTTGGAATTCCGACTGCAATAAAAAAAAAAAGAATACCCTACTCGGAACATGGAAATCCGACGAGATGAATCATCTAATCATCTAAAAAATATGTCATGAATCTAAAAGAAATTTTAAATTTGGAATTGATATAATTTAGCCCTAACATTTTTATTTTTTACAAACTCAAATTCAAAAACAAATTTCGAAAAAAAAAAAAAATTAACCTAGTCGGAACTCCCTAATCCGACTAGGGGGGGAGAATTTTTTTTAATCCTAAAACCTAGTCGGAACACCCAGTTCCGACTCCCCCTTTTTGGTAAACCCTAAAAAAATCCCCGTTTTTTGGCAACCCCAACCCCCTTTTCCCCCTTTTTGGTAAATCACCCGCTAAAATTTCGCAGGCATCGTGTATAATTGATCTTTTAATTAAATGAGGTCATATTTAGGGAAATAACAAATGAAGTCATATTTTAGGAATTGAAAACTTCACTACTAATATTAGGGTCATTTTTTCCTTTTATATTACTAATCCTATATTGAGCAAATTCCTTAATTAAAAAAAAACTAAATCAACAAAATAAACTTACATCATAAAAGGTCCTCATTTAATTATTCAATTGCATCTCCCGTGGCCTTTGCTATTACTTCCTCTGTTCTTAAATAAATGCAACAGTCAATATTTCACATTTGCCGAGACACAACTTGGACCATCTCCAGGGCTTGGGAAGGGTGAAGGGTACCAATCTACATAGCCTCTGTTTGCTTGGGAAGTAGAGTGATAATTGTTCTGGGATCACCCTGAGACCACCCACCTCCTGTCATCTTACTGAGATCCTCATGGCCTTTAGGAAATAATAATGTATAAATATATTGTGCATACATTTTGCATACGAATTAAACATTGGGCAACCCGAAAGATTTCTTAATAAATTAGGCTTGCTAAATTATACAGAGTATATTTTTTCATAAAGTAAGAATTGAAAATATTATTTTAGCAAAATTTTTCCTAATACATGGACTTATTTATGATCAGATTTATATGATTGAATTATTGTACTGATATTGATTTAATTTCAACAAAGCCAAATCTCCTAATGAAATACTGTACTTCATATTTTTATAGTGAAATTATACGGTTATGAATTTTAAAGTTGAATTTATTAGTAGCAGTGTTTAATGGTTGTGTTTTATGAAAATATTAATAAAATGTGTTTATTTCAACGGAAAGTTTCCTAATGAAATCTAAAATTTTGAGTAGGAATTTATGTGTGATTTTTTAGTTGTGAAATGTTATGGAACTTTAAATAAATCATACGTGTGTTTTCCTTTATCATGTCATTGGTATGCCTGATTCCTTGGCTGGTGCATTACTATTATGCTGGGGCGGGATGGACAGGGTGTTATAATGTAGGGGAATCGATGTAAATACTAATATACTATTATTCAAAATGTTATTTTTTCCCCAAGATTCCGTATTAATGATCACTCGGCTAATTTTCTACTGTACGTGTACTTTTTAGTTTCTACAAATTTGTCATGTTTATCCAACTCTTGATGTTTTTGAAAGTTATACATAAATTCTTCAAAAGTAATATGATACTTGGAAAAACCGATGGTTAGTACAATGTGAGGCTGTGAGCTATTATCCTAATGCATTTGTACAACCTCATATTGAAGAGATTTTTTAGTTCACCTGTTAAGTGATGTTATCAAATTTCATATGTTGATAAACCATTACACGTTTCAAGTGTTCTGCTCATTGACAATAATGAAATTTGTCAGCTTCCTGCTAAAAGCAGTCATAGAATCTTCCCAAAAAAACAGTCAAAGAATGATGGATTTATAGTTTCATATGTTTACGTAAGCTGATGTGATATATACATTAAAGTTTTGAGGAGTGTTTGCAAAAACTTAAAAAAATACTTTTTTTAACTTTTGACTTTAAAAAAGTTGAAATTGGTGTTTTCAAGTGACAATTTCTGCTTAAATTATGCACTTAAAACTTAAAAGCTAAAAGTTGGAAGCAGGTTGATGAGTGCTTTAAACTACTTTTAATGTTTTCTATTACACAAAAATCATTTATTTTATCAAACACTACTACCTACTTTAACTTTTCCAGAAGCACTTTTTTCTCACATTATCAACTTTTATGACGTAGTATTAAATATTTTTTCCAAAATCACTTTAAAAATCACTTTTTTTTTTAAGTAGAAGCATTCTTGGAGCATCAAATCTACTCAAATTACGTATGATGGTAGCAAAATTTAACATTTTGGACCTTGACACGCAGCAGGAACTTTGAAGTGCCTTATTTCACACTTTTGAAACAACTCGTTATTATGTTGCATACATACTAGAGTTAAAAGTTAAAACGATTCAAATTTTGAAAACGATTTAAATACATTCAAAATTTACAATTCACTTTTAGAATTACAAATACGGAGCATCACTTTTTTTAAAACGTTACAAATATCTTTAGTATAAATAATTAAATAAATACATATACACGTCACTTCAATACATTAAAAAAAAAACCTCTAACTAGTTGGAATTCCGACTGCAATAAAAAAAAAAGAATACCCTACTCGGAACATGGAAATCCGACGAGATGAATCATCTAATCATCTAAAAAATATGTCATGAATCTAAAAGAAATTTTAAATTTGGAATTGATATAATTTAGCCCTAACATTTTTATTTTTTACAAACTCAAATTCAAAAACAAATTTCGAAAAAAAAAAAAATTAACCTAGTCGGAACTCCCTAATCCGACTAGGGGGGGGGAGAATTTTTTTAATCCTAAAACCTAGTCGGAACACCCAGTTCCGACTCCCCCTTTTTGGTAAACCCTGAAAAAATCCCCGTTTTTTGGCAACCCCAACCCCCTTTTCCCCCTTTTTGGTAAATCACCCAGAAATTAAAGGACGTGTAGAGCCAAAACTCGTGGGCCAGTTGCGCCCGTCCCAAAAAGGCCCAGAGAATATACGCATCCAACATAATACGGCCAGGGTGCCTTGTCGTTCAAAACTCTAGGGTTTCTAGAGTCTTGTGTAGAGAGTGATCGAAGTGTATTTTCATCATCTGCTGTGGGAATCTGCGAATTGAGGGGTTCATCCGGTGTCGCGAAAGAAGCATGCCCCATTTTTATCATCGAAGTATGCTTTCCTGGCTTTTGAAGGTAGTTGGTTAAGAGAGAGTGATACTGTCGCGTGTTGTCCAAGCCTGAACTGTTCGACATGATGAGCGCAGAAGTTTGTTTCCCTTGGATGATGACTGGAAGAGAGAGAGCTTCTCAGCTTAAGGACGTTTAGATCTTTCACCATCGTTGCGAGATACCCATGTATAGATGAAAACCCTTGAATTATTTTAAAACTTATTTGAGAATCCGCCTGTACATTGAACGAACTGTAACCTTGTTTAACCATTTCATCAGCGGAGTGATGGATTGCCTGCATCTCTGCGTGGAGTGGACTTGTTGACGAGAGAGAAGGCTAAAGCACTTTCAAAAGTTCCATTTGCTTCTCGCATTATTGCACCACCTCCGCTTTTGTTGTTGTAATATGCAGCATCGGTGTTCAGGGTAAGTGGCATATTACATTGGTGTTTCCATCGCAGAACTTGTGTAGATTTTTGTTTATTTGTGATGTGAGGTATGAGCCCATAGTAATAGAGTTCTGAGTCAAACTTCAACTATTTTTTCTTTTGATTGGCGAAAATCCAATTTCTGGTGTAGTCCTTGATAGAGCTTACTGTCATTGTTCTTGAAAACGGTTTGCCATCCCAAGTAAAAGCATCGTAGGCT